TAGGGAGCCCCAAATCCCCCTGCACCAGCTACACCACTGACCCCAGCTCCAGCAGGGATGCCATCCTTTCCATAGGGAGCCCCAAATCCCCCTGCACCAGCCCCACCAACCCCAGCTCCAGCAGGGATGCCATCCTTTCCATAGGGAGCCCCAAATCCCCCTGCACCAGCACCTCCAACACCAGCACCACCAACCCCAGCCCCAGCTGGGACACCATCCTTCCCATAGGGAGCCCCAAATCCCCCTGCACCTGAACCACCAGCACCACCAGCCCCTGCTCCAAGTGGCCGACCATCTGGACCATAGAAAGCCTCCATTTCTCCTACAGAACTGCCACCTGCACCAGGTAGAGCCCCATCTCCACTTGGAAGGCCACCTGGGCCATGCAGCGAGCCAGACCTGCCCCCCTGACCCAACTGAGCACTGGCATGAGATGCCAAGCCGTCCTTGCCATAGGGAGCCCCTGTTTGTCCCTGTCTGTTTATCCCTGCTCCGTTCATGTCACCCACAGTCAGATCACCACCCTTGCCATGGTGGGACCCCATTCCTCCTGCAGCCCCTGCAGCACTCCCCCACGCTGCAGCCCCTGGGCCAGCCCTGCTGAACAGATCCCCCACACCATCTCCCACCCTGGCTGAACCAGGACCGAGCCCGTCTGGCACAGAACTTCCATCAGTGGCACCAAACCTCCCAACACCCCCAAAGCCAGCTCTGGAGCTGGGATCACCTAAATTCCCATCCTTGTCATACTGAGAGCCCAAACCTTCTCCACCATCCACGCCCATGTGACCAGCACCCAGCACACCCTCGCCTCTGCCAGCCACGGAATCCCGTCCCCCTGCTCCTCCTGCTCCATCTCCAGGACCTTCCCTGCCTGGCACAGAGTCCTTGCCGTGCACAGGCCTTAATCCACCTTTGCCTCCTAAGCCTTTTAATCCAAAGATGCTGCCATCATTTGTCACTGAGTCTCCATCTAGATCTGCTCCAGAAAACTGCCCAGGCCCCATCCCTCCGTTTATGTGTGTTTTGCGGAGCCCCTCTTTTCCCAAAAATATGTGGCTTCCATCATCAGTATCCATGGAGTGGCCTTGGCTGCTGCCTTGGCCTCTGTCCTGGCTGCTGCCTTGACCCTTCCTGTACCAGCCCTTTTTTTCCACACCGGTGTCCATGGCATGACCTTCATCCCCGGCACGTTCCTGGCGCCGAAGTTTCCTCGCCCTTTCGTTGTCTGCCATCGTTTCCTTCAGCCACTCAGATGTCTCCCTTTCGATTTTTTCAATTCCTTCCTCATCCTGCCTCTTCTTCCCTTTGGCATCTGCGTTGAAGTTGCATTGTTTGATTGGAGCAGACAGAATTTACAGAAAAAGGGAGGGGGGACAAAGAACAGATGATCAATAGGTCACCTACTGCATTAGTGGCCAAAGAAAATGTGTAAGCAATTTTATAATTTAATTTTAGGATACAGACACATAATACATTTAAATAAATTTAAATTCATTTCAAATCCTGAATTTTTTCAGTGTCACATTCAGACAACGAAAAGTTAATTAGAGACAATTATTTTTATTTAAAACACAACTTTTTTCAGTGGAAACATGGTTGTTATAACAAACAAATAAACAAGACAAAACTGACAGAAAAACAAATTTCCATCATGACAGGTCTGATTTAGAGGGGCTTAGATTGTATCTGGAACTCATTAGTTCCTTTTGCCTTCTCCCTGACCCCATGCCTGCTGTAGTGTGGTCCCAGTGACAGCTTCCTCAAAAACACACGGTGAGATATGGAGCAGTTTTTGATAACAGAGAACATTGTAGCTGTACAGCAATAAGCCAAGAGGATTTGTCAGGATTAATTAAAAAGAGAAAAATTGGTCTCATTTGAAGAGGAAAGGGGGTCTAACCAGACCTTCATTTTCCCAAATAGAATTTAGAATCACAGAATCCCAGAACGGTTTGGGTTGGAAGGGACCTTAAAGCCCATCCAGTCCCACCCCCTGCCACAGGCAGGGACACCTCCCACTATCCCAGGTTGCTCCAACCTGGCCTTGGACACTTCCAGTGATCCAGGAGCAGCCACAGCTTCTCTGGGCAACCTGTGCCAGGGCCTCCCCACCCTCACAGGGAGGAATTCCTTCCCAATATCCCATCCAACCCTGCCCTCTGTCACAATGAAGCCACCTCCCCTTGTCCTGTCCCTCCATCCCTTGTCCCCAGTCCCTCCCCAGCTCTCCTGGAGCCCCTCTAGGCCCTGGAAGGGGCTCTAAAGTCACCCCAGAGCCTGAACACCCCCAACTCTATCATCCGTGACTGAGGAACCAGAGGCTCAACAATTGATTTCTCAGCATGGAAACATCTCCCTGGACAATGAGGCAGCGAGAGGAACGTTCCTGTGTCCCACCCCCCAGACCCACCCCCGGCACTCACACTCCACGAGCAGCCAGGCGCTGGAGGAGCCCTGCCCCGCCTCCAGCGTGTACATCCCGCTGTCCGAGGGCTCCACGTTCTTGATGATGAGCTGGTGGGTGAGGCCGTCGGGCGACACGGAGATGTGGTGCCTCGGGCCGGGCTGCAGGGTGTGAGTCTTGTGCAGCCAGGCGGGCTGGTGGCAGGGGGTGCGCAGGACGCAGCGGAACACGGCATCGCCCTCCTCGGGGCAGCGCACGTCGCTGAGCGGCTGCTGGAACCGGGCGGGGATGGCTGCGAGGGGGAAACCAGAGCTATCGGTGCCGAAAAACTCGGCGGGAAGGACTGCTCAGAGACCTTGCATCCTTGGAGCAGCGAGGTATCTACTGTGATGCCTCAGGGTCTTTTTGATTTTTCTAATTTTTATAAGTTTTAGAAGTAGTTCTGTAGTAAATGTAGGTCTTAGAACCAGCTGCATTTATTCCCTTACCCTTACCTTTAGCACAGTAGATATACATTCCCCAACCCTCTTACCCCATTCCATGCTCCCCACATCAATTACCCCCCCCTAAATTCCATTAGAATATTTAGACTTCCCTTCAAGGTAGGCCTCTTCTGTTTAAGAACATCTAATCCCTGGCCTGAGCTGCAAGGTACAGTCAAGAACTGTGTGACCGTGTGCCCTCCATACTCCCAGGAAGACCAAGGTGATGAAGAAAAGGGTCTTAAAAAGACCCCAGACTCAATTCCCAAGGGGCAGGCTGGGGGTGGATGGGGGTGAAGGCTGGGGGTGGATAAAATCCGGGATTGGACAGACAGTGTTATAAAATTGTAACACTGGATCAGAGCTGCTGGTCTTGTAACCTCTCTGCCCCAGAGGTACCTTTAAACCCTTTTCTTACCTTACCTCCATATTAAGTTGCCTCAGAGTTTTTTTCCTCCCTGAGTTTTCTTTAGGCAACAATTGCAAAGTAACGCTGGGAGCGAGGCAGGCGGCCCTGCACAGACTCGCTCAAAATCAAGGGCTTTATACGGTTTTACACATGTGATTACTGGTATATTCATATGATTACATCTATCTATACATATTCATGACAGGCAGAGTCCAGGCAGAGCTTAGGGAGGTGCTTCTCTTGGCACTGAATTTCAGGGGTACATCCAGCCTTTGGCCTCAAGCTGGGGGTCGTCTTCTCACCTTTCTCACTCTGACCTTCTCACCTTTCCATGGGTCTTGTCCTAACTACTGAAGCTTGCAGAAAGGCTGCAAGCCTTTTTCTCCTATTCAAATGTCCACCTTACCCTAATTTATTACCACCAGGTTCATTGTACACCATTTCTGGCATTGTTCTGGGTTTAGGTCCAGTGAACAGAACAGAACAGCTCTGAGCAGCAGAACAAGGGCTGGGGGGGCTTTTCTTAGCAGGCCCAGATATCTCAGTTAACTCTTTCAGGCCTGGCCTTTGTTTCACTATGGAAAGGCTCATTCTGTCCTCCCAGAAAAAGCTTGTTGCAGCTCAGGGAAGGAAGAACAGAGGGTTGTGGTGCCTATGAGTGTTGATTTAATGGAAAAAAGGGAACACTGAGATGTGATCCTGCAACCAATTCTGCAGGATGGACCAGCAGGAAAGTGGATTTTTGTGTCATTGTCTTCTGAGACATTTATCCCACACGTCATTGATGTGCTGACAGTTTGTAGTCATCAATGTATTACTGCAGCACAATGCTTGGATTGAGTTATTATTATTCTGAGCTTACAGAAGGAAATTGTAGCATGGGGAAGTTGAGGAATGTGCTCACTGTCATCCACAAGTCAGAGCCAAACTGGTACTTGAACCTAGACTTAGTCCTTTGGACTGCAAATGCAGCACCTAAATCACATAATCACCCTCCTGCTCTTTTTCACCTCTGCCATACAGGGAGCCCTTATTTGGCAACACCAAGCCAGTCAGTCCTCTGTAGCTGTCAGGAGTTACTGCTGAGCTTTGCATTTGCTCCTAGATAAAATTTTCAAGCAAAAAAAATAACCTTTTGTTATAGTTGTACATCACACACCTTCAGCATCCAGCTCAGTGGAGAAAACAGGGACGTCCTCCACCCTGACTTGGTACACGCCCGCATCCTCTGGCTGCACGTCGTTGATGATGAAGTGGTACCTGCTCCCAATCCTCCTCAGGCAGTGCTTCCTGTACTCGTCCCCCGTCCCGTAGCGGAGCCGCTGCCCGTCCTGGGGAGAGGAGGAGTGTTCCCACACAGGCAGAGCTCAGCTGGGGCCAGAGACTCACAGAATCCCAGGATATGCTGAGCTGGGAGGGACCCACAAGGACCATCCAGTCCAACCCTCAGCCCTGCACAGGCCCAGCCCCAAGAGTCATCCCCTGTGCCCCAGAGGATCAGCCAAACCCTCCTGGAGCTCTGGCAGCCTTGGGGCTGTGCCCACTGCCCTGGGGAGCCTGGGCAGTGCCCAACCAGCCTCTGGGGGAAGAACCTTTGCCTGAGATCCAACCTGAGCCTGCCCTGACACAGCTCCAGCCATTACCTGGCTGCTGTCCCCGGTCCCCCAGAGCAGAGCTCAGTCCCTGCCCCTCTGCCCCTGCCCAGGCAGTTGGAACTGCAGTGAGGTCTCCCCTCAGTCTCCTCTGATCCAGTTGAACACACCAAGTGCCCTCAGTGTCCTCCCATGGCTTCAAATCAAGGCCCTTCTCCACCTTCATTGCCTCCTTTGGACACTCTCTATTGGTTTCATATCTTCCTCACATTGTTGTGACCATAACTGCCACAATATTCCATGTGAGGCCAGCCCAGAGCAGAGCACAAATCAGGGCAAACTGGTGCTACAATCCCCTCGTTGATACAAATGAGTAACTGCAGAGAAGTCTCCAGTCCACTCCTGCTGACAGTGGTCAGGGCTCGTTGCTTGTGCAACATCTGTGCATAAAGTCCTGCACAGAACAGAGCACCAGACCCTCAAACTGGGCAGAACAGCAGCTCTCTGCTGGCCCACATAAGGGTTTGAGGCTTAACTAATGCACAGGCACAGTAACTGCAAAGACAAAGTGCTTTCTTTGCTCAGATTTCAGCATCCTCTCAAGTGGAGAAGCAGGAGAGTTCCCTTTCTGGAACACGACTGGGTTACATTCTCCACACTGTGGCTCAGAGACTTCATGTCATACCTTTGATTCAGAAGTTCATGGTTAGTCCAATGTCTCCAATGAATCCTGATTTCCCCTGTGTTAGAGCCACTAACCACAGTTCAACTGGAATTTAACTTCCAGAGACCCATCCACAGCCCTGAGCACCCGGGGATCACATTGGAGGAACTACACATCTAAATGGGAGATTTTACTGCCTCAACATTTCCTTTCACTGAAGGGAGTTATAGTGGAATAACTTTAGAAAGGGAATAAAATTTATATGAAACTGCAGGATTTCTGCAGCCTGAAAGACTCTGTTAGGACAAGGGGTGATGGTTTTAAACCAAAGGAGGGTCAATTTAGATCAGATATAAGAAAGCAGATTTTTACAGTGAGGGTGGGGAGGCCCTGGCACAGGTTGCCCAGAGAAGCTGTGGCTGCCCCATCCCTCGAAGTGTCCAAGGTCAGGTTGGGATAGTGGGATAGTGGAAGGTGTCCCTGCCCATGGCAGGGGGTTGGACTAGTTGGCCTTTTAAAGGTCCCTTCCAACTCCAGCTGTTCTATGAACCTCTTCTCACTGGCAGAGCTCTTGCCAAGGATGTCAGTGACTGACTGTGTGCCCTGTGCTTGGATTTACAAACCCCAGGGGATGTTCACCCCCAGAGACTGGTCACACCAACACTCCTCCCTAACCCAGGGCTCTGCCAAGGACAGATAACTTGATTTGCTCTCCCCACTGCTCAGCAGATGAAGCATTTTCTGCAGGAGACTCCAGTGGCTGCTCTGACCAGCTGCCCCTCCTGCCCTGAGCTGCTGCTGCCCAGCCCCTCTGCCCCTCACCTTGAGCAGATACACGTTGCTGTTTTTGTTTTTCAGCTCCATCTCCAGGCTGAACGAGGCGTTTCCCTCCTTGTTGACTTTGATGTGTTCCAAGTTTTTGATACTGTGAATTAACTGCAAAGGAAAATCAAAGAACCTCGTAAATGGTAAAGCTGCTGTGACAGAAGTTCCTAAGCTGTTGAATTCATGTGAAATCTACTGTTTATCTGCAGATAAAGAGCTACCTCTAAGGTTATGTGTGCAGAAGATGTTTTTGTGAACTTCCACAGTTTCCTCCTGCACACAAATTGTATTTTACGTGCTGCCTCTTGATCATTCACACACTGTCCATGCAGGTTTCTACATGCCCCTGTATGTCAAGACCAGTTTTGACTCTTGAGCATACAACTTTTCAGTTTGGGGTCCAAATTCTCATCAGAGGCAGCTGAACCCCTCTGTGGTCAGTGTCTCCTAAAATCTATGAACTGAATTTCAAAAGAGTCATCAGCATTTTCATCTGCAGGAGTAAAATGAGACTTCTTTAAACATTGTCATAAATCACTCTCTCATCCAGTAAGATTTTCATCTACAAAGCAATTTAGGAAGATTTAGCCTGTTGCCAGGAGCTACCGAGGACTCTGTTGTTTGTTAAAAATCAGTGGTTTCAGTTTATTTTACCTCATCTTGTTCACTCTCTGTGTCCTTCCTCAGCTCCTGCAGCTTCCTCAGCATCCCACGGAAGTCGACAATTCCATATTTAATGCAGATTTTCTCGTAGTCTCTCCTGTCTGCATGGAGCAGCAGCTGCCACACGGCCTCTTTGTCCAGGGGTTTGGGTTTTGGTGCTACAACCCTTGGAACCAGGGGGAGGAAAAAAGAAAAATCTAGACATTTTGACAGACAACAAAACATTTCGGGTTTTTTTCTATACTTGATTCTCTTTCATCTCTCTCCATCATTTCTGTGGTTCACTGGGCCCTGGAGGTGCAGGCAGGAAAGAAGGGGGCTCTTCCAGAAGAAGTTTCCTGTATCTACACCATGAATTAAGTGATGACAGGGAACAACTGTTGACACTGTTCCATTATCAGCAGAGTCACTGGCACAGTTTGGAACCAGAGTTCTGCACAGGCCAGAGATCATTCCCAGCAGGCAATCCTGGGAGGTTCCCAGCTGGGAAGGGAAGGGGTTGTGCCATTTACACTGCCAGGGAGCCAGGGTTCACCCTGATCATCCAGAGCCACCAGGACATGAAGATTTGCCCCTTGGCCAGGAAGTTACTCGTGAGTTGAACACAGGAGAGCAGAGGAACATCTTTCCAGTCAGAATCTGCAGAGGGACATTCCTCCCAAAGGAGGTTGGTGCCTTGTGTTATCTCAGCCTCACAGGCAGAGCTGTCCTGGGTGTCTCTCCACAGGGAGGTCTCACCACAACTTTGGAAACAAGAGGTGTTGCCCTGCAGGTCTGTGAAGCTGTCCCCTGTCACCAACAAGCTTCCAGAAGTGTGACAGTGGCCCTCACTGTGGAGACTCACCTCTTCCTCAGCAGCTTCTTGGAGTCCTGGAGTGTCTTCTTCAGCTCTGTTAGAGGGGTGGGGGGAAACAACAAACCTTCAGACACCCAGCACTGTAAAATCCATCCCCAAAGATGATGCAAACCAACCCCTGACAACAGCCCTCCCTGCTGGGCTCTGGAGATTTGTGTCACACTTTGCAAACTGTCGTGAAACTTGGAGTCAGTTCTCACTGCCAGACTCGTCCTTTGAGTGCCAAAAATGTTCATTTGCTCCCTCAGGGGCTTTCCTCCAGTAACCCACTATTTTCCATATGAACATGTTTGATCCAGCTGTATTTGACATCCCAAAATCCTTCTCTAGCACTAATGATTCTGCAATCACTAATTAGAGCAGCTCAAAGCCAGGTTTAACATCATCACTTTTTACCCAAAGGTAAAGAGCAAGCAGAGATGAGAGAACACCAGAGATTCATTAATCTTTTTCTTACTTTAGTCTTTACAGATTTAGGATAGTAATAATGTGGCAGAATATTATTAACTATGCCTCCTCTATAATATAATACAATATAATATAATATTATAATATAATATAACACAACACAATATAACATAATATATAATACAATATAATATAATATGATATAATATGATATAATATGATATAATATATAATACAATATAATATAATATATATCTCTTTCTCTTACCATCAGCAGCATGAACGGGAACATATTTTGCTTTCCTCTTAAAGCCAACTGATAGTTTATAAGAGAAAACAGAAGGAAAACAAGCCATGAGATGAACAAACAGCAGTAAACCAATGAACCATGAAACCAGTATCTGTCCCCAGTGTAAGGGGAAAACCCAGTTTGGATTTCTTTGTCAGTGTGACATTGGCTCCCAGGAATCTCCATCTATAAATGTGATATTTCCATTGCAATGGACTCTGTGCTGACTGGATGCTCCACACAGAGGAGGAGAATGTTTCTGCCCCATGAATTTTGGTGGTTTAAGCAAGGGGAGGAAACATTAACACCTTGTTTTGGAGGTGGGGAGCCATGGTGGAAGTGGCCAACTGCAGAGACGTGCCCTCTAAACTTGCTTTAGAGGACACTTCCAACACAGCCCAGCTTCTGCTCAAACAGATTCCAAGAACATCAGTTGTATTTGACCCACAAAATGCCCATTTCTCCCCACTGACTCTAAAGGGAAGCAGGGGACCACAGCTGAAGTGGGATGGACCCCTCCCAAAGGACTGATTTGTTCAGCAACACAAAGGAAGGGTCGAGCCCAGTCAAACCCAGAGGGGCAGGTTTGCATCCAGTGCCGTGACCACAATTCCTTCTCCCTTGCCTCAAAGCTCACAGTGCCACGGAGCCACCACCAGACCTCCAGTCCTCGGGGAGGGAATAAGAGACCTTCACCCCGAGGATGCTCAGACAGAGCCCGGGGCACCCACCCCGGGGCAGCCAAGGACTGTTTGGGACCTTCGGAGCCCTGTCAGCCCCACCTTGGATGATCCTGAGGCCCACGGAGCAGGAAGCTTCCCCGTACTCATTGACAGCACAGCACCGGTACAAATCACTGTCATCCATCACCAGCTGGTTGATCTGCAAAAGGGGAACACGGGAATTGCTCACTCCCAGCACTGGGGGTCAGTTCACACTGTCAGCCGTCACAAAGCAGCCGCTCAAAGGCAGCTCAGAGCTCTCTTCTGTTCCCAGAAGGGCTCTTAAAAGCTTTGTTTGCTTATCTTTGTGTTATCTCAGAGCTGGGGACATGTAGAATCACAGAATATCCTGGGCTGGAAGGGCCCCACAGGGATCACTGAATCCAATCCCCAGTCCTGCACAGGACCATCCCCAACAATCCCATCCTGTCCCTCAGAGCATTGTCCAAACCCTCCTGGAGCTCTGGCAGCCTTGGGGCTGTGCCCACTGCCCTGGGGAGCCTGGGCAGTGCCCAACCACCCTCTGGGGGAAGAACCTTTGCCTGAGATCCAACCTGACCCTGTCCTGACAAAGCTCCAGCCATTCCCTGGCTGCTGTCCCTGGTCCCCCCAGAGCAGAGTTCAGTCCCTGCTCCTCCTCTGCCCCTCAGCCCATTGCAGGTTTTTCCTTCTCATTTCTCTCTCAAGTTCCACAAGTCTTTTCTGGAATATTTGATCTTTACCTGCAGAATGAATTCATTTGTAGCACTATTGAAGGACATTTCATACTTAGCAGGATCATCCATCCCTTTTCGTGTACGTGACCATTTCACCTCTGGGGTTGGGACACCTTTGACCACAGCTCTGAAAATGGCATTTTTACCTTTGAAAAGAGGCAAGAAATTAGTTAAGACAGTCTTGAACATGAACAGTCTTGAACTCTCATACCAGGCCCCTTGTGTTATCAACAGACTGATCTCCAGAGTGAGCCACCATCTGTTGTTTTGGGCAGAAACATTCTTCAAAAATAATGATGGCTTTTATTTTGCACATCAGTAATTCAGGGTTTGCCTGTATTCAATCATAAAAGGCCTTTAAAATGTGGTATTACCCTGCCAGATGTGGCTGCTGACATCTCTGACTATCTCTGCAGCCCTGCAGCGAGTTCAGCCTTGACCTGCTTTTGGCAGCTTGTGCCACTGCCTGACAGCTGGGAAACGCCCCAATCTATTCTCTTCAAACATATATTCCCTATAAAATCCCAGTGCTTCTCCATTCTTTCAGGATACAGAGCCTTGTCTGACCTGGCACCACCCTGCACCCCAACCACCCCAGGCTCTGCTCTGTGAAAAGGCAGGGAAGGGAGGAGGGGATGGGCTTCGGCTCCTTCACCCCTGCTCCCCTCAAACCTGGGTTTTCTGAGTGCACAGACACCTCCAACAGCTTTCCCACTGCCTGCTACAGACCTCTGCTTCCAAAAGGCTTCAAAAACATGGGAAACACTGGGAAACAATGAGTCAGAGAAGTGACTCGTGGTGAAGTGGAATAGAAGTGGAGGTGAGTTATCCAAGGACGAAGCTCCGGACAGAAATGGTTGTTGTCTTTCTTGTCCAATAGTTTTGGTCTTCAGGTGCCCAATACTGTTAAAAATTCTCCCCAGAAAGCCTTGCAATGTTTCCCACACCCTTCTGCAGTCACCACCACCAACGACTTCTTTTATGGAACAACAGATTCTTATCAAAAGGCGTTTTCCAACCTTTGAGAACAGAGCACTATTGTTAAAGCCTGATTCCAATTTACTGTCCCCATGTCACATTTTAGCCATTTTGGCTGCACTTTTGCTGGTCATCTGCCACAGGTCACAGCTGCACAGCCAAGGGAATCAGCTCCCACATGCACTGAACACAATGGGGGGATGATGATGTAAATAAAGACACTCCTGGTGGCTCTGCACAGAATTCAGGTTACAGTGACCAACCTGAATGCACAAACATTCTGTACAGGAACCATGAGAAACCTGCTGCAAATGAAATAACTGGGAAAATTCAGACAGGTGAAAATTCAGACTGGTGAAAATTCAGACAGGTGAAAATTTAGTCAGGGGCCTTGGTTCATTCCTGAAACTTGAAGGTGGAGGAGGAGGAGAGGGGAGGTTCCACTAGAGGCCACTGTGTTCCTTCATAAAACCTCAATGGCTCGTGAAAATCAACAGATGGGTGAGAAACACTGAATCCACAGGTCAGTATTGGGAGGAAAGAGGAGCTACAGGATCTCCTAAGGCCATTCCACTCCAAATAGAAATATATTATATATTATATATATATATATATGAGTCTCTGCAAGTGCAGAGACCACTGGGAGGCTTTTCATTGATGTTTGGTCTTGACTCATCAGCTGCTTTCCCTGTGCAAGATCCATGTTGCTCCTTAAACAATAAATGGAATCATCATAGAACCACGGAATGGTTTGGGACCTCAAAGCTCATCCCATTCCACCCCCTGCCATGGGCAGAGACACCTCCCACTCTCCCAGGTTACTCCATGCCCCATCCAGCCCAGCCTTGGACCCTTCCAGGGATGGGGCAGCCACAGCTTCTCTGGGCAACCTGTGCCAGGGCCTCCCCACCTTCACAGGGGAGAATTCCTCCCCAGTATCCCCCCTAACCCTGCCCTCTGGCAGTGGGAAGCCTTTGCCTCTTGTCCTGTCACTCCAAGCCTTATCCAGCCCTCTTGGAGCCCCTTTAGGCATGGGAAAGCTGCTGTAGCCAAAACAGCACCTGCAGGTAGAATATCTTGCTTTAAAAAGCAGTTAATTTTAGTGCTGAACACTCATAATACAAGTTAGTTCAACAGGAAAAAAAACCCAAACAAAACCCCAAATTTTTCAATGTGCTTCATCTTTTGCTGCAAAATACTTACTTTGAGAGCTTCCTGCAGAATTCACAGGATTTTTTGCCCACTTTAGGAGCCAGATTTTGGTCTTGCACATGCAAGGAGTCCTCTGTCAGCACTGATGGAATTTTCACCAGTGTAACAAAGACTTTGGCCACACAACACTTTTTTTCTAGTCATGCCAAACCACTTTAGAAACTAGTTTGATTTAATTACGATAATTGTTCCATGCTGGTGAGAGGTGGAGTCAAGCCTCCAGGTCTGTGGCTTTGCCTGTCTTTCAAGAATCTCACCTTCCTGCAGGGTCAGGGTGAGAGGTTTCCTCTCAAAGTCAGGTGTACTGCATCCTTCTGGAACATCATTCACAAACTGGGTGATGAGAACCCCTGGGATAGCAGATTTCTTGAAGGCTTTTACTAGAAAGGCAAGAAAAAATACACTTAATTAGCATAACATTTTTCCTTCAGGAACAATCTCTCAGCCTGCAGAGAAGCAGCTGCTCCTGCCCAGCTCCTCTTGGACTATGAAGATCCCACCCGTTCCAGTCCCACGGGCTCTGAGGTGTGTCCCGAGGCTGGAGCATTGAGGTCTTGGCTTTGGAAAACCAGTGGCCAAGTGGGAAAATCTGCAAGGAAGATCCCAATGCAGGGCCCCCTCGGGTCCCAGCTCTAGGGGTGGCTGGGACAGGGGAAAGCTTTGCATCATTGTCCCAAATAACACTTCCAAACCTGGCAGGACAAAGGCCCTCTTGCCAAGGTCAGCAGCACCCGAGGGGTCAGTGCCTGGTGTCCCTCCTTGAGGAGGGGGGACAGACACCCCCAGACCAGACAGATACCCCAGAGCAGCCAAGCAAGCTGGGGTCATTCCCAGGGTATCACAGGGAGTTCCCAGAGCTGTGTCTGTTCTCTCACCTGGCTGGGGGCTGGTCATGGTGCCCTGCTCAGCTTTCTGGGATCACCACAAACAGGTCGGGGGTTCTCCTGGGAAAAAGGACAAATCACTGCATTATTCACAGTTCACAAGGGAAAGGACAGACCTTGACACTGCTCCCTTCACTGGCACAGTTTGCCCTTCCTCACTCGCAGCCAAGTTGAGACAGAGCTGCCAATCAAGGTGTCCTCTCAGAGCACATCCCAGCACGGTTCTGAACCAGCACAAACTGGGCAGGAGAACGACTGGAAGGGCTGAGTGGGAAATGCACACATCCAACAGCATCCCTCTGCCACCCCTTCCCTGCCCATGGCACCTGGCTTTCCTCCAGACACCTCCTCTCGTGTTTCAGGCAAATATTACATCACATGGCACTCACATGGGGAGTTCTGATGGATGGCGAGAGCAGTTGCTGAGAAGAAAGCCACAGACATGGATGTCTAAACTGGGGTATGAAGCAGAAGCACATCCTGATCTAAATTAGCTTGTTTAAATTAGCAACAGACCCGAGAGCAGAGCAGAAGACTTTAGAAGGAAACGGTGAAGTGTGAGCTGGGCATTAAGCAGTTATTGTCATGGATCACTCGTGTGACCTTCTGCCAGAGGCATCTCTTTCCTTGTATTTTAAACTAGACAATGTGTAATGTCCCTGTCCTGAAGGCAAACTGGGAAGGCAGATTCCTTGTCACATGAGAGATGTTCACAAACTCTAGAGTTACTGCAGCTCTGCAAGAGCAGTTGGACTGGATTCCCCCGGGGGATTGATGCTGCTCCCTGTTTATCCTCTGCACTCCTTCAGTCAGGAGAGGCACACAGCAACATGCAACTTCCATCAGTTTTTAAAAGGCATGGGGACTTTGGGAGCACACCTACGTCAGGCATTCATCCAGCTGAGAAGTGTCACAGGCACGTGGTGAAAACCCAGAATATGACCCCAACACCTCCCCGTTCCACACTCAGCTCGGAGCTGCATCACCTGGGTGAAACCTGCTTTCAGCTAAAGGTAAAACCAACTAATAAATAATTTGTGCTGTGTGCCTCATAGACAGGCCAAAGAAAGTATCACTCACAGTACTTCTGAGTCAAATTCTGAACCAAAATTTGATTTTCCATTACTCAGCTGCAAAGCACCTCCCTACAACAACTCACTGGCTCCACTGTTGCCTTAAAATAAAGTCTTATTCTGGGGCTCTGCACACTACACAGATCTCATCAGTAATTAATATCACTCCTGAGACTCACTGACCTCAGTGGAAATGCACTGAGACAACAGACATGGGAGATGATCCTGGGGCTGCGTGAGCACCAGCCAGGCCATCCCCTCTCCCTGTCCCTCC